GGCGCACGACATGCGTCAACACTCTTCTCGCCCAGGCAGCTACTGCCACGCACGCAGCGTGCGTACTTGTACGCACGGTCGTGCGTGGCCTTGAATCAACATATTCTTCGGTTTCTTCGACTCTAAGTCACCGTTTGGTCATGCGACCGATCCTAGAGCTCTTTCTTCATCAAATCATCATCGTGAATCTCCAGGTGACCTCCAAAGCTCTCAATTCTCTCTCGAATGCATCTCAACCCGTCTCGACTTCTTTTCAAACGCCGGTACCGGGTTCTAAAAACCTGATTTTGACTCCAAAAATACCAAAACTCGAACCAACGCCCGGTAAACGTGACTTGAGCTAAAATTGAGACTTATGTCGCCCTAAAGCTAGGAAAACTATCAAAAGTCGATCCCAACACGCATCAAATGCGTGTCGAAATACGGACTTATCAATCTCCTTTTAAGGGATCTCATCAGCTAAGAACTCCAAAGTTAAGTGTGCTTGCACGAGAGTAGTCTTGGGATGGGTGACCCCCTAGAAAGTTTATTAGGGAGCACACGAGTGAGGACAAAATGCGTGGAAAAGGCTAGTGGCGGTTTGTGAGGGCAGTACTAGAGGTCTAGAGGGTGTGTAGGAGTAACTATCTAGGACTCTACGGTGTGTGGTGTTATAGAAGAGGTCAACCCCGTTCGGTCCAAGCCTTCCGGGAGAGCGAGACTTTTTAGGCGGAAGTGAAACAGCACCTGCTTGACCGCCGAGCTCAGATCGCCTAGGACTGACTCCTTTCTCGAGAGTGGGAGGCCAGGTTGGATGAAGAGGGGACGTTGTGCTTCAAGCTCGGCCTATATGGCATGCAGAAGTCCCTCTATGAGGCTATGCAGAAGAAAATCCCTCCTTTTCTGCTCTAGTTTGGGGGCTGCACGATCTGATGGTGAATCCTGAAGCCCCCAGGAGAGCCCTGTTCTGGCTAATCCCTCTCCGGAAATTCCTCCCTCCTTGGTCGGTAATTAAATTTCCTTCTCTAGAACACTAATTGTCAAACACTCTTTCGGGCTTACGTGTGACAATCTAATTCTGGTCGAAATCTTTTTCCATTTTGGGAAATCTTTTTTCAAGTGGGAACCTTGAGTAAGGTCATCTTTTTCAAGGTTAAACAACATTTATAAACAAAATCTAATTCCGGCCGAAATCGTGAGCCGAATAGAAGCAAAGGACTCGAGTAAACTCCCATCTCAAACGGAACAAAACCCGAGACAACATGTGAATGCAATCATGTTGAGAAGTGAGACGACATTGAAGGAGGTAGAGAAGGAAGATCAAGAGATTGAGGAGGTTGATCCTGAAGAAGAAGCTCAATCAGAGGAGGGGACCACTAAGGCAAAACTCCCTCCACTTTCATCATATGAACCAGTAGCCTCATTCCCTTAGGCGCTGAGGGAGACAAGGAAGCTGGAGAAAGATGCTAACATCTATGAGACTTTCACCAAGTGTGAGGTAAACATTCCGCTCCTTAACTTAATTAAAAGTGTTTCCCGTTGTGCTAAATTTTTAAGAGAATTATGCCAAACAAAAAGGAAAAATAAATTGAAGGGGAAACAATTTAAGGTTAGTGAACGTGTCTCGGCTATTTTTCAAAAGAAACTCCCCGTAAAATGTAGCGACCCAGGCATGTTCACTATTCCTTGCAAGATAGGAAACACCACATTTTCTAAGGCCTTGTTGGATTTAGAGGCGTCAATAAATGTCATCCCTTACTCCGTTTATATACCCCTACACCTTGGCCCACTACATCAAACCGGTGTAGTGATTCAACTAACGGATCGTTCTAGAACCTACCCGAAGGGTGTCATAGAAGATGTGCTAGTAGAAGTAGAAAGTATGGTTTTCCTTGTCGACTTCTATGTCCTTGAAATGGGACATGATGACCAAACAACACCCATCCTTTTGAGTAGACCTTTCTTGAAGACCGCAAAAACAAAATTTGACGTGTCTAGTGGTTCATTAACTTCAGAGTTCAATGACCAAAAAGTAGAATTCCACATCTTTGATTCTACAAAAAAACAAATTAAAGATCAATCTCTTTGTTCTTTAAATGTTTTTGAACCACTAGAACCAAATAATTTTGAGGAGGCTGAGAAAATCTCAATTTTTAAAGAAGAAGAAAAAATTGAGCATGGTGAATCGTCTTTGATTGGAGGAAAGTTGTTAAAATGTGAACTAAAACCACCTGCGGTTGAGGTGGTAACAAAGAAGAAAGATCGGCCTTACTGGAAAAAGCCGAAAAAGAAAATTGAAACTTGGCCAAAGAAGACCATTGAAAATAAAAAAACGGATGTTCATGATCCCAATTAAAATAGAAAACAAAATAAAAAATAACCTTGTGCCACGACGTTAGCTAAGACGCTTCTTGGAGGGCAACCCAAGCAAAGGTACGTAGTTTTCCATCCTTGTCTTTTGTTTTCTTTTACTTTGAATGTCATCTTTGAGAGAAAGGGAGAGAAAAAAAATCAGGTTTTGAGTGATTGGGAAAACACCTGATCGGGTATACTCACCTACCCGGTCGGGTCCAAGCAAAAAGAAAAAAAGAAAAAATAAGGCTCCAGGGCAAGATACCCGATCAGGTATAACCACCTACCCGGTCGGGTATGAGTGGAAAGGCAAGATTTGGATCGAGTACGTCCTATACTCGATTGAATAAAATGATTTGAAAAAGGCACAAAATACACATACCCAGTCGGGTATACCACGCTACCCCGGTCGGGTATATTTTGGAAAAACTGATTTAATTCATACGGTGCAAATCACCCGATCGCGTATACCCTTTACGCGACCGGGTACATGGGTTTTGAAAAACGAGACCATACCCAATCGGATATAGAGCCTTACCCGGTCGAGTAATCGGGATTTTAAACCCAAATCAATGCCCAAACTCCTCATCTTCTCCTCATATCAAACCCCAATTTGAGAAACCCTCTCCCAAACCTCCATAGACGATTTTTTCTTCATCAACTCACTCCCTCAAATTTCTACCAAATCACTCCAAATCACTCCAAACCACCACATCTCCCTCTACAACCCCTATCCATCAACACCACATTCTCCCCCCAAAACTTATGTCCGAAAAATATATACCACACCCCCAAGTCCGAAATTGGGAGCTCAAAATTCAAAGTTTCAAGAAACAATGGCCCCAAAAAGAACAAGGGGAGAAAGTTCTTCATCTAGAGCACCGGTTCCCGGCTTTGAAAACATCATCCTCACCTCATCCGCTCACCGGGCAAAATTCTTGGCCCAAAACCGAAAGAGAGGTACACCATTCCCGTTTCTTGTATATGAATACTTTGGATGAACTAGGAATTCTTGCTTTGAGCTAAGTGACGGGGAGTCACTCATTGGTACGTACTTAATTTTTCTACCTTGTAACTTGCATTATTTTCTTCGCACACAAAAAAATAGAAAAAAAGAAAAGAAATGCTAGTTAGGTTGTAAACCCCAAAAACGAGCAATCTAAGCAAAAAGGGCTTATAAAAAAAATAACAAGTGAGTTGGAAAGGAATAAAAAAAAGAGATGCTAGGATGAAAACCTGAAAAGGCTCCTAGGAAAAATGAGAGATATGAGAGATGCATTTATTTTTACAGCGCATTGATGGTCTCAAGAAGCAGAAGGAAGGAATTGAAGGCAAGAGAAGAGCATAGAAGGCCATAAAACCCAAGAAGATGTTATTCTTTGAGCTAAAAACTCAATGTAAAACTCATGTGTAATCCTTGGTGGTCTTTTGCTCTTTCTTGTTAATTGTTGAACTATTGAAGACTTGGAACACTTGTAAACATTTGGCTTTACTCGAGGACGAGTAAAGAAACTAAGTGTGGGGGAGTTTGATGGTGTGAATTTCCTATTATGTATGTTTGTATTTTTAACTAGTTTTATTAGTTCTAGTTGTGGAAATTATACACTTTTGGTGTAATACTTTATTTTCATAATTTTTTGTAATTTATTTAGATTAGGACTTTTGTGAGCTAAAACATGTCAAAGATCATCCAAGGGATCATGATTGGACCTTAAAAGATCACAGAAAGTGCAAGGAGGCAAGAAAGATTTCGATTTGGAAATATTACTCATGTACCCGATCGGGTATAGGCTTGATTCGAGTGTCTAAATCAAATCCGTGAGAGCAAATTTTCGTGAAAAATTGTCATATACCCGATCGGGTATGCCGACATACCCGACTGACGAGCCATTTTCACAATAATGCTCATCGGTGTCGGGACATGGAAGTCTCGGATATCGTCTCACGGGACGGTGTATATGGAAAATCAAGTGTGCAATCAATCTAGTAATCTAACACGTAAGCTAGCCGAATCGAAGTATGTTTAGTTTAAGAGAACAACTAAATTGCAATGGAAATAGATAACAAATAAACTAGAAGGGAAGCGAGGGCATACAAGGAACAACCTATGATTAAGGATAAGGGGTCAAAATGAGGATACTTGGGAATATATCATGCAACAAAGGGATAGGTACAAGTTCACTTTGCCACTCTCATGGTCAAGGGGGTACTAAGGGCTCCTATTGGCCATTCTCATGGTCCAATAGCAATCCAAAGTCATGCAAAGAAGAGCAACCAACAATCCTTCCCCTACTTTCTCCCATTCTCATGGAGAGGAGGTAGTGTGTGTATGTGTGTGAATGTGTCAAAAGAAACCCTACAAGTCTCCTTGAGAGTCCAAACCAACATCTAAGAACATTGTGGCCATCAAAGTCTTAGTAATTCAAATAAGCATTTTGACAAACACATTGTGTGCATGATATATTTCTCAAATTCCCCCAAATCCAACCCCAAAACCTATAACCTCACATGGTTGAATGATCCTCAAACACCCCCAATCCCTAATCCAACTACTCACTCATGCTAAATTTCATACTTGTAAAGCATATGCAACACAAAGTCATGAAGTGAAGCAATAAGAGAAAGGGAGTGAGATTAGGGATTTAATGCAATATAAGATATTAAATGAAAGAAGAACAAGCATTTGATGTAAATAAAGCTTAGGAATTCAATGCACAAGAGTTTAAGGAAGCTTACAACCAAAACTAGGGTTTGCAAGATAATTCTCGTCCAAAAACTATGAAATTTCGAACAAGGGCCGCTATTTATACAAATGGGGAATCGGGGGAACGCCAGGGAGGAATGACGTTCCACCGCGGCGTTCCTACCCTTAACAAAATAAAGCAGTCAGTTGGTAGAAAGTTCGACTCTGGGAGGAATGGAAGAGGAACGTCGTTCTCGCAGGAACGATTACAGGAACGACGTCCCCTTCTAGCGTTCCCACACCTGGGACATGAAATTCCAAATCCGGAGGAACAAAACGGGGGAACGCTAGGTGAAACGACGTTCCCTTAGGCGTTCTTGAGGCTGCCTTCCCCGAAACACCTCCGACATCTTCGTTTCTTGCTTCCTTATGCTCCGCTTGGTTCCCGGGGTCTTCAAATAATTCATTTATGCTCTCGAGACTCTTCAAATGCTCGGTTGTCACCCCTACAAAGCTCAAGTCCTTCATGTGGTTCCTACAACCAAAGTTTTGAACAAATAAAACCAAAATGGGAGAATAATCTGCAAAAGTTAACAAACAAAGACCACATTTTATGAGAAAGTATTATGTGTTTTCACACCTATCACCGACCGGGTATGCCCAGAAAAGTGACTTTCCGGGAAATTTATGACTGAAGACCAGAGATAAAGCCTCCAATAATGAGCGCGAGCTCCCGAGCTTTGACCTCCAGGAGCTAGGGATCTTACCAGCATTATATGGACTTAGGCATTTCGCTGAATCAAAGGCCACATAAACTATCGCCACGTCAACAACACTGTAAGAAGCGCCACATCACTCCAAATGGATAAGGTAAAGAAGATTCCAGATAATACACGTGTAACCCTTGGAGGTGGTGCCATTACGTGGAAATCAACCAAACAAACTATAATTTGTAGATCCACTATTGAGTCCGAGCTTATTGCTTTGGAAGTGGTTAGTAGTGAAGCGGAGTGGTTGAAAAACTTCTTAGCAGAAATTCCAGTTGGTACAAAAACCAACACCGTCTGTGTCTATTCATTGTGATTGCAGTTCCGCATGTGTATTTTGGTATAAGTTTGTTACACACAGTTCCAATTAGCCAGTTGTTCCAGTTATCTCTCCAATCACCTTTACATCCCGTCCCCTACGAGAGAGAAATTTCGGACAACACCGTAATGGGTCACGCACTTTGGACCAAAATGACCGGAGAGGTGAACTTTAGCTCCTCCCAACTATACATAAGCCATGTACATCATCCCATCCTCCATATATTTTTAAACTTTTTGGCAAATTGTATACTTGGGTGCCCCAACAATCATCATACTAGGATGGGGGACGTATGTTTGATGACCACAGTTTTGTTCCGTCGCGTCGTGGATTTTAACCTTTGCAATTTAATGTGGGCCCTAAAGAAAGAATGCTTTGCTAAAGGCCCAATTGTTTTGGGTGGGGTGATTATGCACTTGGCAACAAAGTTTGGGTATATGGATAACTCTCCTATACCCGACTATTGTTTAATGAATATTACTTGGTTAGGCAACTCGGGGTGTACTACTTTTTCTCACACGGTGTATGGGGAAGACCAACCCCGACATGTCTACAATTGGCTCATACACCCAAGACCGGTAAGACATTACCCCTTGCCTAACCCGGACCTCCCCAAACTCCATTACAACAGAGATGTGCCCCATTACTTGTTCCCACACCTCCTTCCACCACACCTACAAGAACCTCAAGCCCCCCCCCCCCCCCCCGAAAACCAACCCGACCAAGAACCTCAAGCCGAGCACCATGAACCCGAGGCTGTACTTCACCACATTCCCGAACAGAACCAAGCCCCCCCACCACCCGATTACTTCCAACAACTACTTGATGGGTTCAACAAAGTTACCGATGAAGTTGGAAGATATTGGGAGGAACAAAGGGCAGGATTTCAAAGACTTGAGGAGCAACGGGCCGAAGATAACCGGAGGTACGAAGAAGATCAACGTAGGTTCTATGGGCCTATGTACTCATACACGGCCCATCAAGCCTCGTTCCATACTATGGCTCAACCACTCCCACCCCCCTCTTGGTATGTCCCCACTCAATGGGGTAACTTTGGAGGATCTAGCTCCGGGGGTGGAGATTATGATGGCGGGGATGGCGGAGATACTCACATGGGCGACGGGAGCTTTGGAGGCGGCTTTGGAGGCGGTTTTGGAGGCGGCTACTATGGCGGCGAAGGCGGGCACTAGGGACAGTGCTTGGACTGAGAAGGAGGGAGACTCCTCATGGTATGTAATTTTATTTTCTACCCTTTACTATGCATGAATTTCTTTTTACTCTTTGTAAAAAAGAAATAAAAAAAAAGAAATGCTAGTTAGGTTGAAAACCCAAAAATGGGCAATCTAAGCAAAAATGGCTTATAAAAAATAAAATGAGTGAGTTAGGGAGGATGGAAAAACAAAAAGAGATGCTAGGATGAAAACCTGAAAAGGCTCCTAGCCAAAATGAGAGATATGAGAGAAATATTTGTTGTGTGCAGGAACTCATTTGATCTCTTGGGAGAAAGAGGAGAAGAAGAAGAAGAGGAAGAAGAGAAGAAGAAAAAGAGGCAAGAAAATGAAGCATAGAAGATCACAAAACCCAAGGAAAAATGTTGTTTGTAAACTCATTTTTATTCCTTGGTGATCTTAGTTTCTTTCTATAAGGAATAATTGTACTTAGATTTTGATGATGCTAGGATAGATTAGAATTTTAAAGTACCCCTTAAAGAAATTTTGTATTAGAATCTTTCTTTGTAAGTATTAGCATAGTCGACGGGCCAGAGATCCTCTTGGTACTTCTGATCTGAGTTGTTATGATAACCAGCTATGAGAGTTACCTGCAGAGCTGCTGTTCAGAGGTATCATCAGAACTGCTGCCAGAGCTGCCCTCATATAGCTATCAGAGAACCATCAGAGTCCGACTTGAGAACTGCTAATCAGAGACTCCCATCAGACACCTAACACTTAGAAGGATTCGATGCTTTCTTTCAACGGCCGTCTAACTAACGGGAAATTCCCTAACGGCTAGAAGATATTTCACCAGAGGAAAGCATTTAATGCTCATTTAATGAGCCTGATACGCTGTGGAGTAATTGCAGATGATTGACCGAGATTCTTGGAGAATATTATACAAAAATAGAAACCTGCCAAATATGCGGGTCCAACCGGTCAACTCCATAGTACGCGCATTCAATGCAGTTGTCTCCTCCTCCAACGGGTAGACAACTCCCAGTATAAAAGATACTCGACGAAGGACAATTGGATAACTTTTGCTCTCGAAATATTCAAACAAGCTCTATTGAGATTCAAACTCCATATTCATTCCATAAGACAAAGCTTACGTTGGGAAGATTAAACTACTCAAATTCTTCTACCCCAACAAAGAGCAAAGTTCCTCCTGTTCTTCAACACTTCAAGCGCTTCATCAACAAATCTATTGTAACGAAGCAAGTTGGAGAAAAACTCTGTTTTTCGAAACATCTTCTGCAAAGAAGGACGTCCAATTAACTGGAGTAGTGAAGTGGTGATACTTCCGGGAAGCTCAGTGAAAGGACCAACCATCAGGAAGCAGGACTGCATCCCGGGTGGCAACTAGGCTTGAAGAAGACGTGGAGTGCTTCTTAAGTGATAGGGACTAAGGCGTTGTAACTGTTAAATTTACAAGCTTAGTGGAACAGTGGACTAGAGGAACGCGTTGTTCCTTGAACCACTATAAAAATCCCCGATGTCATTTACTTTACTGCATTCAATTTCTGCACTTAGGATTCTAACTGTATAACTCTTAAAAACTTGGAATCTGTGTTCAGCAGATCTTGTGTTAAGAGTTATCAGAAAGGCATTTGCCTTAGTATTTTCTTGAGGCTATCCTGACTGAACTCATATCCGCTGCCTGGTCCAGTTCTGCATCAGAACTCGACCACCTCTGTCATCAGATTTGGACCACCTCTTATAAGTCAGTTTTTGACTTAGAGAAAAATCTGTAAAATCAGAGCAGTCTATTCACCCCCCCCCCCCTCTAGACTGCTTCATACTCAAACGGGACCAACAAGTGGTATCAGAGCTACCTTGTTCTTGTAATCTTTTAGGTTACTCCTTGAACACAGATCCACTTGTTCTAGCCTTTCTATTTCTTATTATGGATAACTCTCTTGCAAAGCACCTTATGTTCACATATCAGAAGTATGATGATTGGAAGATCCGGATGAAGGCACATCTTTGTGCTCTTCATGATGAAATGTGGGAAGTTTTGGAAAATGGCACCTTCATCCAGTTCATGAAGGTCAACCCTGCTCACTCTACAGATAACTCTCAGCCCCAGATGATTGAAAAAGCAAGATCTGAATGGACAAAGGAGGAGAAAAAACAATACAATCTTGACAACATTGCCAAGGACATCCTCTACAAGGCCATAGATGAAAGATACTTCAATAGAATTAAGAAGTGCAAAACAGTAAAGGAAATCTGGGACAAGCTTGATGAGATAAGTGCTGGTGATGAACAAGAGAGAGACAACAAGCTGACCATAGCCATGAAGAAGTTTGATGACTTCAGACTGCTGCCAGATGAATGCATTGCTAAAATGCATGAGAGACTGCTGATTCTTATCAGTGAAATTTCTGAGCTTGGCAAGGAGCTCACAATCAAAGAAGTCAACATGAAGATTCTTAGAGGACTGCCTCCAACGTGGAAGATGAAGGTGATTGTAGTCCAAGAGAGCAAGAATATCAAGACCTACCCCACTGAAAGACTGGTCTCAGATCTCAAAGCTTATGAGTTTAAGATGTATGAAGAAAAGGAAGAAGTGCCTGATGAGAGAACCACCACTGCACTCACAACCAGCATTTCTAAGGTAAACAACTTTGACCCTTCTACTCTATTATCTGACGAGTATATGGCCGCTTTTGTTAGGAAATTTAGGAAATTCATGGAGAAAGATGGAAGGAGTCCATCTTCTAGCAGAAGACCTCCTCAGAAGACCAAGTCCTCTGAAAGCAATGAAGAGTACCTCTGCTACAGCTGTAGACAGCCAGGCCACTTCAAGGCCAACTGCCCCTTTCCAAGAGTGTCCAAGAAGCAAGGACAAGAAGGAGAGAAGAAACATGAAGATCAACACAGAAGACGGAAGGCATTTGTCTCTAAGCAAGCTGAGAGAGATCCCCTCTCTGAATCAGAGTCCAGTTCTGATTCTGACTCTGATGAGGCATTCTGCTGCCTAGATACAGAGACTGAAGATCTTTGCCTGATGGCACAATCTGATGATGAGGTATATTCTACAGCTGATTCTATTTCTTCTTCGGTAGGCACAGCCTTAAATGATGATCCAATGTCATCATTTTGGGAAGAATTCAAAACTATCCAAGCCACTTATTCTTCTATTAAAGAGGAGAACAGTAAGCTAAAGTTTGAAATCTTTGACTTGAGAAAAGAGACTGAGTGCAAACTTAATCTCTTAATTACGGAAAGAGACAAACTGGAAGCTGAAAATGAGTCTCTTCTAAAAAGAATAAGAGAAATTGAGAATCTTGAAATCAGATATGATAGTCTTTTGAAGATGCAATCTTCAATAAAAAGTATTGATGGTGTTCATAATCTCACCTCTGGTCTTGGATATGTTGAACCCAAGTCTGGTGAGCCTTCTGTAAGGTCTAGCACCCAAGTTGCTAAAGCTAAAAAGGTCATAGTGCCACAGACTTGCAGCCCCAACTGCCATGCTAGTACTTCTGGTACTAAGGTTATACATGAGAAAGTCAGACCAGAGAACCAAAAGCTAAAGGCTAAACAAAAACAAGTTTTGAAAAACAATGAACCTGGCAGAAGACCTAACAATCTAAAAGGTTT